GAAGACAAGGGGTGGGGTGGGGGCCGGGGGTCTTACCTGGTCCGCCGGAGGTCCGGTGATTTAGAGAGAGAGATGTGTGAATATCAAAACAAGGGATAAAGAAGCCTAAAATCTACTCCAAACATGGTATAACCTTAAGTGACCGCATATACACTAGTCATCTTGCATATACGTCATCTCCAACAAACGTAGCATTTAGCATATAAGTTCATTTGAAGAAAATGCTCCCAAGTCGAGGCTAAGCAAGATACTTACCTCATCCCAAGATATCTCTATTCTTCAAAATCCGCCTTTTCTAGCTCCAAAACCATCAAACGAGTCCATTCTAGCCCATACAATACTCAACGGGGTCAGGTAAAGCTATAAAAACTAACTCCAAACAATAAAGCTTCAATCTTTAATCAAATCTCAAAAGTCAACAAAAAGTCAACCCGGGCCCACACGGTCAAAATTCGAGTCCAAGGTTGGATGTAGTTGACCCATAACCCCACAAGTCCAAATATGTGATTAGTTTCCAAATCCGAGTCCAAATTGGTGTTCAAAACCTCAAAATCCATTTTCTTACGCTTTGGTCAAATAACCCAATTTCTCTTGTTCAGTCCCATGTTTTGATGTTAAATCTAGTGATAGATTCGTGTATAACTCATAGATTTGGGTTAGAATCACTTACTCCAAGCTTGTTGATAAAATTACTCTAAAAAATCACCTCAATCTAAGCTTCCCATCTCCCAAAATCATCAAAATAAACTCCAAGTACTAACAACAATAACAACAACATACCCAATATATTCCCACACATAGGGTCTGGGTAGGGTGGTGTGTACGCAGACCTTACCCCTACCTTATGCAGGAAAATGACTGTTTTCAAGAGACCCTCGGCTCGAGCAAACACAGTCACAACAACAAGGAAAATTGAAATATAAAAATAGTAGTCATATGAAAAAAAAACGAGATAGTAACTAACCAAGGAAACTCCAAGTACTAAATGGGTTTATATATAACAATTGCAGAAATTTTCAGAAATGATAGCATGTTTTTGTACAAATGTCGGAATGATGAACAATTTGAATTTCTGAAAACTAGATTCAAAAGGCTATAACTTTCATTTGAACCTCATTCGCAAATTCGTCGTAGATAGAGAGCAATACCCTTGTGAAGTCAGGTCAAGTGCAGGAAAACCTCGTTTCAACACTTTTAAATCTTTCAATACTCGCTCCAAACACGTCGAAACCCAGCCGAGCCCCTCGGGACACCGTCCAATCATCCCAACAAGTTTGTATATCCTATCCAAACTTGTCCAAATTCTTAAACCACATCCGGAAACATCATAACTAATTTCCCATTTGGCCATAAAATTTTGGAGCTTTTTTTCAAATTTTGTTTTCAATATCTGTTTGTTTATAGATTTTAACCATTTTTTGGCAGATTTTGAAAATAAAATATTCAAATCCCAAAAATAGCTCTAGAGTAGTTTTTGAAGTTTTTGAATTTTTCTACGCACAAAACTTCAAATTCTTTTCAAGTAAAATGCATATCCAAACACAATTTCAACTTTCAAAAATCATTTTGTATCTCATCTTCAAAAACTCGTTTTTTGAAGTTTCAACCAAATCTATGTTCAAACGCTAGCTAAGAATCAAGATCCAAACCAAATATGAACTTTCTTAAGTTCTTCAAGTGTCAAATTTTACAAAATTGGTACGAATCATTTTCAAATCCTTTGAACCACCTCTAAACTATCCCAATAAGTCCAAATGACCTATATGAACTTATTCAAAGTCTCAAAACACGAATCGAAGTGCAATAACACAAAAGTCAAACTTGAGTCAAACTTGTGAACTTTTAAGTTATTCAAATTGTCAACTTTCAACTTATAGCGCCAAATCAACCCCGAGCCACTCTAGACCCGATCTGAACATACATACAAGTCTAAAATCATTATATGAACCTATTGGAACCTTCAAATTTCGACTCCGAGTCCGTTTACCCAAAATGTTGACTTTGGTTAACACTCTTAACTCAAAGCCTGTAGTTTTCAACAAAGTATCCCAAATCAGAACCTGAACCAACCATACATGCAAGTCATAAAATATAATATGAACCTACTCAAGGTCTCAAATTGCAGGACAGGATGCTAGAACTCAAAACTACCGGTTGGGTCATTCCAGTTGTTGAGTTTGAAAGTCGAATTTTACAGAGTAGGTTTAGCGTTACTGTCTTTTCCATCTTCAAACTGCAAGAAGTTTTATTCTACACCTAAAGAACTCATATTACAACTTAAAAGTAAAAGGTAAAGCTGAGCTCTACTGTCATGATGCACTTGATCTCTCAAATTTAGCAAGATCAGCAAATGGTAGAGCGACCAAGGATTTCATGATTAAGCTTTAAGAACTTGTTTCTTTGTGAGAGATCAGTCTTTTATAAAGTTCTTTCTCTACAACTGAGACATTATTCAGTTTCAAGAATGCGAAAGGCAAGTGTAGACGTCACTCTGCACAGAGAAACATTTTAATTTTTGTATTATTGGTTGTTTGCGCTCCTATGACAGTGCCAAATTATTTGCCTTGAGTATTTGGAAAGCCAAAGGACACAACATAGCTATATGCGGAAGTTCTTTGCATTTGCATCCTTAATCTATGCACCATTTTGTGATTTGCACCTTATCTTCTTTTTCTTTTTTTGTAATTTTTCCCTCAATCTATTCATTTTTGTTCAAAACAAAAATAAAGTTTATTAGCTGAGGGTAAAATAGGAAATAGTGTTCCTATAAAACAAACCTTTCAACCCCCTTTTTTTTGGATATCCTAATAATGTGTTTACATGTCATCAAACTCGATATTTAACAATTGTAACTTCATAGTGCCTTATGACGATGATCAAATGTAATAACACACTTGAAGGATCGGATTTTATCTACTTATGTTGTTTTATCATGAAAATTTTGTCTCTACTGTTTATATTTGGCTTTTAAATTTGTTTCGAAAACAAATGTTACCATTCTCAAAAAAAAAAAATTTGTTTCGTAAACAATTCAAGAAAAGATGAACCAAAATTTGTTGGGTTAGAAAAAATACACTAAAGTAATCTTCTGACAACCAAACAAGTTGATTTTCAAGAATTGATTTCAATCAAGACCATATTTTCCAGCAAAACCAAAATAATTACTAAAACCAAAAGCCTCCAAACACAATAATTTGGATAAAAATACTTTTAAATGGAAAATAATATCTTATAAATTATAAATATTTCTAATTAAAATAAAAAGTTTACGAAGTAAGTAATTCTAAGCTTAATAAGGTGATTGCCAAATCCAAAAAGACTTTTCGTTAAACAAACACTTATTTGAGTTAGGCAACAAATAGCTAATTTGCTGGTGATTGTTCGATGTAAAAGTACAACTTTTTTGTGACTATCGTCTAGAGTTAATACATTGTTTACAGAAGAAAAATGAAACTTCAATTTTTAATAAATAATTTTAAGTGTTTTATAAGTTTTTTAAATAATTATATATGATACTTGTTAAATACCGAGTTCGGTGACTTATAAACACATTAGCATATTAAAAAGAAATGGATCGGTAGGTTCATTCTGCAGGGACACTATTTTCCTATTCTACCCTTTAAAAATAAAATTTATTATGATTTAGTAAAGAAATGAATTGGTTAGGGGGCATTTTACAAAAAATAAGAGGATATGGTGCAAATCACAAAAGAGCATAGAATAGGGCTCCAAAATGTGAAGAATATGGTGGCAATTCAAATAAGTGAAATCAGAAGAAACGGGGATTGGTGGGCCGTGGGCCTTTGACATCAAAGGTACTAAAGGAATCTCGGAGAGATAATGTGCCTATAAAATTACAGATAGGATAATATTTAGGGTTTACGAAGAGTGGGCTGCCTATGGATATGAGAGAGGAAAACAGGAATATAATTAGTCTAAATTGTACCCTTCACTTAGATGACATCACTGGTTCGACAAGCATCAGTCATCTTTTGCTTCACTGTGAGGCAGCTGCTGATTTATGCGCCTTCTTACTTTTAATACTGGAAAATGAGTAAAGTAGAGCTGCTTGGAAAAAAATGAGCACTAATAGAATTGCAATGGGTAATAGAGAGTTTAGAAAGGTAGCTTTTTGTCTTTTTTTTTTTTTAATAACCCTGTGGCAGGAAAGTTATTAGAAATACTCTTAAGGTGTAGGAAATCCAATTTGAAGATCAGTCCTCCTTTTCCACATTTTTGGTGAAGGGGGGAAAGCACCATGTTATTGATTCTTGATGGATTTTGTCGAGGCATTGAACTTGCATATTTATTCTGTGGTAGTGTGTCTATTTGGTATAGATATTATCTAAATGCTATAAAAATTGGAAGCAGTGGTTAATGAAGGGTGGACTTTCCATCAAATTGAAGATAAGCAGCAGAGAAACCTTCCAAGATCTCCTCTAGCGTTAGATAGAGAGATGAGATCTACTACCAAGTTTGAAGTGTTTGAAAAACAGGATTAAGCTAGATGCAAATTTCTGGGGTGTGCTAGCGGCATTAGTCGGACGCTTGCGACTCCTTTTGATGAAATCTGGACTTTCTCCAGATTGCATACTGGCTGATTAGCAGCGATCTGGAAGGAATCTGATTTGTTATTTTAGTTCTCAGTTAGAGGCTTTAGTCAAGGTGAAAGTTTTCTAAAGAAAATGTACTTTCTGTCATCTTTTGGCTTCCAGCACAAGCTTTGTGCTGAAGATTTATTAATATACTGATACATGTTACATTGTAAAGAAAAAAAATGTACTTTCTGCTATAGATTTCTGGAAGCTACGTAAGAATGACATCCAGGATGCTCTTTTATGTATTTGAAGTAGATGATGTCAATTCTGTATGCTTATGTGGAAAATCGCCTTTTTGTTCCTCTGTTATGCATCTTTGAGTCTACTTTTTCACTGCTATAAATCAGTGTTTATTTACCTATATTAACACCTTGAATTGATTTGTCCTTTGTCTTTGATCAGGCTTGCTGCAAATTGGCCCTCAACAATGCAAATTGTTCGCCTCATTTCCCAGGATCATATGAATAACAAGTAATTCTTTTTAGACAAATTATAGTTTTGCTTGTTGGATCTTTTTCATGTTAGGAACAGATTCTTCTTAAGTCATGCACAGTGCAATTTATCTGAAATTTACATTTTTGTTTTGTATCAGACAATATGTTGGGAAGGCAGATTTTCTCGTTTTTCGGGCAATGAACCAGCATGGATTTCTTAGTCAACTGCAAGAAAAGAAGCTTGTAAAGTTTTCTTAATTTTAAAGCTTGAGTTTCTGCAGCTAGAGAAAAGCCCAATTTCATTGTAGTTCTTTCATTGGTTTCCTGCGTCTATGTTGCAGCCATATAAACTGCAGTGTTCTTGTTTATGGTAGTGTTCTTTAGTTATAAGATTGAATTTCTGCAGCTAGGAAAAAAACGGATCTCATTGTAGTTTTATTAGTTTACTGCGTCGGTCTTGCAGCAATGTAAACTGCACGCGCATATGCAAGTTGAGAAATAGTTTAGTGTTCTTGTTTATGGTGAATGATTTGAGGTTGATACTCTTACTCTGATATACATGTATGTATCTCCACCGCATATGAACGTGCATCTTAAGTAACAGTATAACAGATTAAATAGCCCTTTCAAGTAATTCTAAATTTGTATATTCCATTCTGTAAAGAAAAAGGACTTGGGCCTAACTGAACCCAAAAGATAGCTAGGATTGTCCAAGACCACCATATAAGGAGACTTCAAGCAATGTGAGACACTTAACAGTTAACATCCCCCATATGCCTTGGGTTGGACATTTAAAGCGTGGACAATATAACATAGGGGTCCAACATTGGGTAACCAAGAATAAGGTTGGGTCGGGCTCTAATACTGTTAAAAGAATAGACTTTGGGCCAAACTCAACCCCAAAAGGTAGCTCATGAGGTGAATATTGTCCAAGACCGTGTAAGGAGACAACAAGTTGTAGCAGGTTCTCAAGTTGAAAACTAGCAGATTTGAGGCTTATGAAGTAACAATATGATTGATTGAATAGCTATTCGAAGAGAAGCTATATCTTTTGACAAATTGGTCTTTGAAACATGGTGAAATAGGGTAACCTTGTGGTATTACATCATGTGGAAGTTGGCATTTGCCTGTTAAATGATTTTTAGGTTTGTCATCATCACCTATGCTGTTATCGTCATTATTTGGAGTAGATGAATCAGTCTTTTGCTTTTCCTTTCCCGTGGATTTAAGAATGGGGCTTATTCTAGTGCATCAATAGTAAAACTGTTGGAATTTTGATGCATCGGCAAGCAGCAGAAATAATTGTTGGCTGGTAACTAAAGGAGTCATGCGGGTATTTGATATTATCTCCAGAATTGGAAAGTTTACTGCAAATGTTAGTTGAAATCAAGTGCAGTGCAAGTGAAATCTACTTTTCCTTTCTGCTTGGTTGATGGGTTGAAATTTTCTTGCTGAACACCTGATAACCTTGCTGAAATCTTATCAAGTATAGCAATTTTGTTTTTGCATCATTGTGAGAATTTATGATTTAGTGTCATTCCTGTCCTTAATCTCTTTTTTTGAGGAAAAAGGATAGCATTCCTATCCCTTGGTAATTTCGTATCTTTAAGCAGAGCATACATATTCAACAGCTTAGAACATCTATTTTTTCCAATGAACCATGTATCTCTTTCTCTCTGCCACTTCAAATTTATTAAAGATTTACTATGAGAGTTGAATTCATTTTACAGTTAAAATCTGCTTCAGAACTAGCATGCATTCTCAGGAGAAATTTTTGTGAGAACGTATTGTTATTCTCTTGAAGGCCTATGTACAGGTGGCTTGCATGTCCTTTTCCGAACCTTCTGTTGTCAGTATATGCTATGTGTGAATGTGTCTATCTGGAGAAGGGCTGGCTATTTTTAGGAAAGCAGTTCTGTAGATCTACATCGATCTTGTTCTTTATTTTATAAATCGTTCCAAAAGAAGCTTTCTCAGTCTTATAACAGGTCTGATGAACTAAACTTGTGCTTTTCTATAACAAAGTGTGCAGTAATACAACTACCTTCACAGACGCTGCTTCTCTCTGTGTCTGATAAAGCCTGCCGCTTGATTGGAATGCTTTTTCCTGGGGTAAGAATTGTTTTGATTCTTATCATAATTTTTTTGATGATCAATTTTTTAAGAAGTTTTCAGAATGAACTCACAGTGCATGAACCTTCAGTGTAATGCCACTTTGGTGTTTTCAGGATATGGTAGTGTTTAAGCCACAGATACCAAGTCAGCAGCAACAACAGCAGCAGCTGCAAGCACAACATCCGCAGCTACAGCAGCAACAGCTCTCCCAGCAACAGCAGCATCTTTCACAGCTACAACAGCAGCCCCTTCAACAGCTGCAGCAACAGCAACCTCTCATGCAATTGCAGCAACAGCAGCAGATTCCATTGCAACAACAATCACAGATTCCCCAAATGCAGCAGCAACAGATTCACCAAATGCAGCAGCAGCAGCTCCCTCAAATGCAGCAGCAACAGCAGATTCCACAAATGCAGCAACCACAGCAGATTCCACAAATGCAGCAACCACAGCAGCAGCAACCAATGGTTGGGACCGGGGTAAATCAATCCTACATGCAAGGTCCTGCAAGGTCACAACTAATGTCTCAGGGTCAAGTCTCATCACAAGGGTTGCCAACCATGCCAGGAGGCGGCTTTATGAATTGAAAATGTCGTTGAATTAGGCAGCTATTGTACAAACTGTGAGATCAAGCAGTTGATTCCTAATTTATGATTAAGCATTCGGTACGTATCTTATAAATGAAGGTTTAAGTGTTCAAATTCGTTTAGTCTCCAGCGTAGAGAAGTACCTCCTCCCTGTTATATTATAATGGCTGTAAGGGCAAGACAAAAGAGGACTTTCCTGGGTTTATTCTGTCCAACCTCTTAGTTTTGCGCATACATATTTGATTGTTGACCAATTTTCCATTGAAGGCAGTCGAAGTTCAATACCAGTATTGCGTTTATTTATGTTGACTTTATTGTTTGACATCATAGTTTTCCATTGAGATGACCAAGTTGCAATTCACTAGCTTTCACTCTTATAATATCTTACTAATATGTGCTTGAGTGTGTCCCTTCGAAACATCCTGCTTTTTAGGACTGAGTTCCAGGTTGCTTATGTAGGATGACTCAGTTAATGAACGCACGATGTGAATTAATCTATCAAAGAGAGTAAGGTCTGTTATATAGGCATGTATTCTAAATGATCACATCTATGGGAGGTTGTAATTAGCATGCAAAAGTATAAAATGAGAGATTGCGTGAAATGATTTCCTTATAGCTTGCGTAAACTTTATCATTTGCTTGTTTGACGATTATTGCCAACTTAGTGTAACAACTCATTGATCCTTGATGGTTAAACTCGAGCAGGGAATGCTGTGAAGTTTACTTTCGCCTGAAATCCTACATCATAATGGGAGGATAAAGTTAGGAGCAATGAAAGGGCGAGTTTAGAATTCAACTATTGAGGCGCCTCTCCCTTAAAATCTAAGGGGGCAAAATCCTGAGATCCCAAATGTTGAGCCTAACTAAATAATAACTTAGCTGTTCGGTGTCACGTTTCAAATTATCCAAGTTGTAATAGCACACAATAAACCCCATGGCAGACAAACCCAAACATATTTAATAGTTAATCGCATTTTCAACATTATATAACAAATTCTAAAACAGAAAAATAACATAGATAAAGATAATGTCTAAAACCGATACAATACTGAATAATCTCAAAATACCCCACTAACTAGCAATACAAGTCGTGTGCTCTGAAGATAAGATAATACAATTGTCTCAAACTGAATACATAAGACCTGAACGAAACATAAGACCAAATATGAACTTCGCTACTATGAACTATGCATATAGCTCAGCCCCTTAATCAACAACGACATCACGACCTCAATCACAAACACCACTAGTACCATGATCCGTATCTGCGCACATAGTGCGGAAGTGTAGTATGAGCACAGAAAGTATTCAGTAAGTATCATTGACCGTTCCCTAACAAAGAAATGGATATTTACTGTATAACCTGTGTAGTTATTACAAATAGTAATAACAGTCTAAGCACATAGATAATGCACAAATCTGACCTACACAAGTACAATATTTAATAAAATGCATGAAATAAATATCAAGAATTAATATACAAGACAAATATTAAACTCTTACTCAAAAAATAATTGTATCACATATCAAACCTGCGCGCACATTGCCCTTGGTGATTAGACATAGTAACTCTAGAAGGAATGATCTAACTTATGTGCAAATAGAAATGTGAGTCCACATGCCCTAACTGATATCAAACCGAATATGAATCCACATACCCAACATCAAACCAAATATGAATCCATATCTACAATAACCCAAATATAAACCCACATATCTATAATATCATCTCGTATAGGTAGTGTGAATTACATATGCAAATCAATGTACATATGCATAGTGTATGACTAAAATAGTCTAACCATTTATATTAGTGTACATAAATGCTATATGTCGAAATAACACATGAATGATGCTTATAATATTATACTAGTAGGAATAAGAAGCTCAATTAGTTATACGGCAGGTATAACAAGTGATGCACAACAAGTATAGCATGATATATATATATATATGGTATCCACATATATACTCGTTACCTTATATATAGTAATGGTAAAAGTAATATTAATTTGGAAATATTTCCTCATTAAGGTCAAATTCTTAACTTACATTGTTCCAAGAAAGTCCTATCTGAAATCACCCGATAGGTTATTTTGAGCTTTAACATATTGTTCAGCGATTTGAAACCTTGAGTAATTTTACTTTATACATTATGACTCGTGTATATGATTGGTTTCGATTTTCGAGAGGTTTGAAGTTGATTTGCGAGAGAAATTCTCAACTAGGGAGCTTTAAGTTGGAAGATCTGACCAAGGTTTGACTTTTAAGTAAACGACCTCGGAATCGAGATTTGGTGGTTTCAATGGGTTCAAATGATGATTTCGCACTTGGGCATATGTTCGGATTGATTTTATTTGTTGAAAGTTGGCAATTTGAAGAATTGGAGAGTTCACAAGTATGACGTGGAGTTGACTTTGAGGCTATCAGTGTCGGATTGTCGTTCCTGTAATTCGAATAGGTCCATTTTATCATTTGAGACTTGTATGAAACATTTGGATTCATTCCAGATTGGTTAGACTTGAATCAGGTGTTTAGTTGGAAGTTGAAAGTTTATGAACTTAAGAAATTGATCTTGATCGACGATTCTTGGTTTTGATGTTATTTGTGGCATTTTGAGCCATTGGATAAGTTTGGACAATGTATTTGAATTTATTGGTATGATTGGACGGGGTCCTATGGGGCTCGGGTGTGATTCGGGGTGGTTTTAGACCATTTTGGTTATGTTGCATTGTTGATTTCTGGTGCTGATCTGCTGAGCATCGCAATCGCGGTTGGAGTTTCGCGATCACAAAGTGTGCTTTCGGGTCCTTGGTGGTTTATGCATCGCGTTCACGGCACATTCACGGAGTATTATGGGCGATGTTCATCGTGTTTGCGTATATGGATTTGCGGCCGCAAAGCGTTGGGAGTCGGTGGTCAGTAGACCTCTGTGTTCGCGACTCATCTTCTGCATTCATGCAATTGGGGAGGCCAGTTGGCCTCCGCGTTCGCGTGCTGTAGATCGCCTCCGCGAAGCAGTTTCTGAGCAGTGTGGACTTTGTGCATCGCGATTGCTAGGGTACTAACGCGATCGCGTAGGGTACTGCTTGTCAGTGCATTTAAGTTACAATGATGGCAATGTAAACATGACTTGAATACATAAGTATTAGATAAATCATTTGCGTGGGACAATTCATAGCAAGGAGTAGGATTTAGAGCAAACCATACTTGGAATGTGGGAGGAGTTTATGGGATTCAATTCTATGGAAGGAGATGAACAAAACATACCTTGATCAAATTTTACTTAGAATCCTTACGACGTTCCACTACTCTTAGCAACTTCAATCTACATTAACATAATTCAATTGAACAACTATTAGTAAGCATTCTCATATTTGAGTCTTTTAGATATTTTATCAAACACTTAGTGTGCATAGTATTTACCACCTCTAATATGGTGTTTCTTTAGTCCTACAACCAACTTCCAAACAATCAATTCACCCACAATAGTCCCAAGACAAACCACAACCTCTATTAGAACATGCATGCCCCACCGTTCATATTCCAACCCAAGAACCACATCTCCTTTTCTCCACACACACCCAAATTAGAGATTGAGGGCTTATGGATTTCAATCACCATCCCATAAGCCCCAACAATAAAAATCTTGCTTACAACCTTATTATTAAACTTTGCATGAGAGTTAGGGTTGTAGTGTATTCTTTTCAGTTATTATTCCAACCAATTGAGCAAGATATTGTAGTGTATCAAGCTTGAATCTCATCCCCCTCCCTCTAAATTGATGCACTCTCTTCATAATAATCTTATTTTCCTTCTAAAATAACCCTTAGGCTCTTTTATTAGAATAGAATCGGGTTAGGAATTTCGTAACAAAAAAGCCCCTCCGATTCTATGACGACCCAACTGGTTGTTTTGTATATTTGAGCCCTGTTTCCCCTTTAGATGTTTTCGTATGTGTATTTATTATTATGTGACTTTCGGAGATGGTTGGTTTGGTTTCTGGGAGGTTTTGGATTGATTTGGAACACTTAGTTCCTAGTTTGGAAGTTTAAGTTGTGAGTGTTGATCAAGGTTTGACTTTGGTGAAAATGACCCCGGAATAGTATTTTGACTGTTCCAATAGGTTCGTATCGTAATTTTAGACTTAGGCATATTCCCGAAAAGGAATTTGTAGGTTCCTAGGATGAATTGGTTCTTTTTGCCGAAAGTTGATAATGTGAAGGTTTAGAAATTTTCTAAGTTTGACCATGGGTTGACTTCTTGGCTATCAGGTTTGGATTTTGGTTTCGGGATTTGGAATAGGTCCATTTTTTCATTTGGAACTTGTGTGCAAATTTTGGTGTCATTCCAAGTTGGTTTGATAGGAATCAGACGCTTGGTTGTAATTTTAGAAGTTCTTGAGTTTCATTGCGAATTCGATGCGTTTTGGTGTTTGATTCGTGGTTACGGATGTTATTTTGGTCTTTAGAGCTCACGAGCGAGTTTGTATGATATTTCTAGACTTGTGTGGATATTTGGTGTGGAGTCTCGGGGGATTAGGTGAGTTTTGGACGTGTTTTGGATTGAGGTTCAGTTTTACTGGTGCTGCAGGTCTCGCAAATGCGAGCACCAGTTTGCATTTGCGACGTACATGGTCACAATTGAGAAGGTGGGCTGGGGATGGAAGGCTTCGCATTTGCGATGCCAGCCTCACAATTGCGATGCGGGAACTGGGCAGGGGAGACCGCATTTGTGATCATATGATCGCTTTTGCGATGGAGCTGACTTCGCATTTGCGAATTGTTTGTCGCATTTGCGAATTTTCAGGGCTTGGTAGTCTTCGTATTTGCAGTAAGTTAGTCACATTTGCAAACCTATGGCCGCAAATACGACATTTGTAGCTGGGTTAATAAGTGGAATTTCGGGACTTAGACTCATTATTTCATATTTTGAGATTGGGAGTTCGGTTTGAGGCGATTTTGTCACACCCCTACCTTGGGGGGTGTGGCCGGCACCCGGCACCCGAAGGTCCAAGAGGACCAACTATAGTACCTAGAACCTCTGACACGGAACCTGGGCCGACAAGGCCTCCAAATAACATTAACAAGACAAGAATGTACAACAACCTGCAAGCAGAAGAGTCCCGGCACAGTATATACAAATAACCAAGGCTGAGAAGGCCGCAAAGAGAGTATCGTCAACTAACAAGAAGACCGACAAGGCCAAAACAAAATGTATACACACTTAGCGCTAGTCTGCAAGCCTTTAAGAGCGCTATAATACATAATTACGTCAAGGCAAGGCCCCGCCATACCAAAAAT